TATGAAAATGACATTCTGAAAACTCCAGGTTTAAAGTTAATGTGATGGAGACCAAAGAGTATAATAGAAAGAACAATTTATTTGTAAACAAAGAGGGTAGGTTTGAATCTTACCTTTACTACTTATTAAATGTGTGACCTTGGGAAACTCTCCTAATTTCTCTAGATCTCAGTTTCCTCATCTGAAAAAATGAAGAATTTGAAGCTAGATGATCTCTAAGGTTTAGCTCACCTCTAAATTATATGATCCTTTTTTACTTTGGTGCAGCATTTGATACTGCTAGTCATCCCTCTCCTAGATCATGTTCTATGAGTATCGCTTGAAGATACTGGGGATGTTTAACAGAGAAGATGCAAGGGGGCCCCAGTACCTGCCTTCAAGTATTCAAAGGGCTGCTACATGAAAAAGGTATCATTACATTTATTTCTCTTGGCTCCAAATGGCAGGAGTAAGGGCAGGAAGCTGCATAAAGGAAGATCTACGTTCATGCAGGGAAAATCTTTCAAACATTTGGGGCTATCCAGCAGTGGAATGAGCTACCTCAGGAGGTAGTAGAATCCCCTTATTAGAAGAACATGGGAGCACAGATATAAATTCAGAAAGGACCTTGGGAGTCATCTAATACCCTCATTTTTCAGAAAAGGAAGAATCTTGGGTATAATTTAATAACAACAACAATAATAATAGCAATATAATAATAAAATGTACACTGATCATAAAAATATCAAGAAGCAAATTGAGAATCACTGGCATCCCGAAATCAAAGCTGAAAAGGAAAAACATATTTAAAGCAATAAATCCCTAAATGTACACTTTCAAATCTATAAAACAGACCACAATAGATTTGGAAAGTATCCTAATGAGAATACAATAAATCAAACTAAATAAAAGGCCCATTAACCAAAGGCAGCTACAGAAAGATGATATTCACCAAAAGGGAGGAAGAAGATTGATTAATATTCTCAGAACACACAATAATTAGGTTAAAAAAAACCCATAGAAACACTTTTGGAACAAATAGATATCACTTCATTGGACAATAGGCAAGTATACAACACTGAATTTTTTCTAATGTGACTACAAGTAGTTTACCTCCAGGAAAAGTCTATAAAACTGCTAAGCTCCAAAAATGAAATCAAAAGGCCATTGATGGGAAACATTTACATGAACTTAGCCAATATCCCTTCAACAAAGAAGTATTAAATAAATAGCTGAGACATATGGATTTGTTGGGAACACAGAGAACAAGAAATTACAGAAGAGTTATCTTGAATGAGTCCAGAGACTGTGATCAATGTAGAATATACAAAAAACCATGGAAAATGTGCAACATGTTACTGCAGCATTTAAAAATTTAGTGCCAACTGAATACCTAGCAAGATATGACCTGCTAGCTGAATTGTGGATCAGTTGTTTGCTATCTTTCAAGGGCTGAGAGACAACAAACCCCTATGTTACACATAAAGACCTCAAAATATCTTGCAGAAATCAACCTAGAAACCGTACTGGAACTGCAATATGATCACAGACTGAACTACTGCTCATAATCACTCAGACATAACATTGATTCATAAAAGCTTTAGAAAAATGTTTTAATACATGTGGGCAAACCAGATCTTTGTAATCTCCAAAAGCTTTCAAAATGTAGAACCTTAGCCAAGATCAAAATTATATGGGAACAGGATGAGGGACATATCATCCCTATTGTCTCATCTGCTACTGGAGTTGAACTAAAGATGCTTTCAATGAACCTAGAGAGGTTTACATCCTAGTACTTTTATTCAAGGGACAGCTAGACGGCTCAATGGATAGAGCACTGGGCAGTCAGGAAGACTTGAGTTTAAATCCAGCCTCTGACACTTACTAGCTGTGTGATCTTGGGCAAGACACATAACCTCTGTTTGCCTTAATCCACTGGAGAAGGAAATGGCAAGCCACTCCTATAGCTTTGCTAAGAACACCCCATAGACAGTATGGTCCATGGAGTCATGAAGATTAAGACATGACTGAACAACAAAAATTTTTTCTTCAACTATTTTGGTCACCCGTGAAATACCAAGCACAAAAGAATAGTTGGCTAGCAACCTGTCTCAGGACCTATCTGAACCCCGCTGAAAAATATAAGAACAGTAATAATAATAATAATAACCCATTCACAAAACACTCTAAAATTTGAAAAGGACTTTTCTCACAACAGTCCTACAAGGTAGTACAATTATAACTACTCACATTTTACAAATGAGGAAACTTAGGTGCTGACAGGGTGACTTGTCTCCACAATTGGAGTTAGTTAAGTTTCTGGGGCAGCATTTTAAGCTAGGTCTTCTGACTCCAAGTGAAACACACTATCCACTACATCACAAGCTATTTTTTTTATTTAATAGAAAAAGACTTTTACATGCTGCATTCTCTTATTCCTTCACCTTTAGTATCTAATATAAATATTTAGGCTAATAAGATTCTGAAGTTCAGAATACAGATTAGTAAATTACAATAAAGTGGTGACCAGCCCCTTACATTACCCTTTTGCAAAGTACCCAGCCAGCCTTATATCCACACAATTAGAAATCAACAAATATTTATTAAATGCCTATGTGAAAAGCACTTTGCTAGGCAAAGTGGTACAAAGACAAAAAAATTAGTTGATCTAAAGGAATTTACATTCTATGAGGGAAATACAGGTAAACAGGTGTGTGTGTGTGTGTGTGTGTGTGTGTGTGTGTGTGTCGGCTGAGAGTAGGGTCTAAATTCATCTCAGTGTGCAGTATGGAAATTACCTCCATTGATGCAAATCAGCAATTTGTCCGTAACATATCTTACAGAGCTATCTATGGCACTGAGATATTAAGTAACGTGCCATGTTCACCAAAAGCTTTCTAGTATGGGACAAAGACAGGACTTGAATCCAGGCCTGATTCCAAAACCAGTCATCAATCCACTATACCACACTGTTTCCCTAAACCAACACATACATGGCAATTTTAGGGAAGGAGAAAGCACTAAGGGAATCAGAAAAATTTTCCTAGGGGTATGGTACACAAACTGAATTATTATGGAAGCTAGGATTTTAAGAATGATAGGGAAGGAAGAAGAGTATTTTAGGTATAAGTGATAGTCTGTGCAATGGGAGAAAGGCAGGAGATGGAGTGCAGAGTTTGGGGAACACTGAAGTAGGCCAGTTTGGCTACAATGCAGAGTAAATGAAGGGAAACAATGTATAATAAACCTGAGAAGGACAGCTGAAACCAGACTAAGAAGAAATATTGATGTCAAGCTAAAGGGCTTGCACTTTTTCCTGGAATTAAGGACTTACTGAAGTTTTCTGAGTAGAGACAATATCAAATTTATGGTTTCCAAAGATTATTTTAGCGGCTATGTGGAGGATGGTTTGAAAAAGGGAGGGGCTAGAAGCCAAGTGTCTAATTAGAAGGCTAATGCAATGCTTTCTGTTAATGATCATTATGGTAAAAGTTGTTACTCTTTCTCAGACAAGAACAAGTAAATAAAAATACAGGTATTAATACTTTAAAAAAGAAATTCTAAATATAAATTTTAAAAGATGTATATTCTTTCACTTGTTATTTGAACCAAATCCTCAGTGAATACTATGCTTTGATTCAGTAACATAAAAATGAATATATAAAGGCTTCATTAATTGCTCAGAGCAGGCCTGTAAAATTCTCATGACAATGAGTCACTGGCCATAGCTGCTAGGTGACAGGTTTCTGCAGAGCAAGAACATCCCATGTAATGTCACTAAAGAGCAGAACAAAAAGTGGACCTCAAGCAAGTCACTTCACATTTCCTGCACTCAGTTTTCTCATATGTAAAATGATGAGGATTTGACCAGATAGATGACTTCTTAACTCTCAGTGTAAAATCTCTGATCCTATGATATCAACAGCCTGCCATCAATTCAACTGAGTTTAATATACAGTTATCAAATACTGAGTATATGCTAGGGTACCTTCTACAAAGTCATAGGTTATGCCTTAAATATCATTAGCATCGGCCGAAATTTCCCCTAAATAAAGGGGCACTGCTTATGTAAAAGAAAAACTGAAAGTCAGGACTTTCTCCCTGAGACTTCACAAAGCTCTTGATTTTGTAACCTTCTAATAAACTTAGGGAATTATTGTATATTACAGCTATCTTTGTCGTCTTATTTGCCTATTAATTCATAAACTATCATCTCCTCAGTGCTTTCTCGCTGTTCTGCATTCAGCAAATGTTTAATAAATGTTTACTGCAGTTTTTGCTGACTAAAAAATGTCAAGGATAGATAAAGAAGAAAAACATTAGCTGCAGTCAATGATAGAGAATATCAATGACAATGAAGGATTATATATCCTGACACCTAAGCATTCCGTTAATTATGTTCACTGGGCTAGATAAACAGCAACAATACATTCAATTCAACAGACATTTATTAAGCACCTAAAATATACTGGGGAGATAGAAAGATAAGTAAGACAGTCACTACCCTTGTGGAGCTTACAATTTATTAGGAGGGGTACTACAACCCAACAAACATTTATTAAGTATTTACTAAGCACAGGTAACTATAATACAAAATAGAACAAGATAAATAAATAACAAAGGTGCAATGTATTAATACAAGTCCCGGGAAAGAAATGCCATTTCTTATTGGTGAAAACTTATACTCTCTCTTAATTTCTTATGAATAACAGGAGTGAAAAATGAGAAAATAATAGCTATCTCAAATCTTGTACGTAATCAACAAATAATCTAAATCATGCCTTTAAAGTCTTACATACAAAATTCATTTAAATTTAAGGCCTATATGATAAATTATGACAAAAGTTATAGGCTATATCTTTATGCTACAAACAATAAAAAAGGTCTTCACAGTTGCCCTTATTCACAAGCAAATAAAATTCCTTGCAAAATACCTTTTGCATTTCAGTAGATCTTAAACTACACATGACTTTACCCTCTTTCTATTGATAGAGTGTGGTATAACTGGTTAGAAACCATACCTTAACGGATTTCAAAAGTTCATAGAGATCTTCAACCTCATCACCTTCGCATCTGGTATACATTCGTCCAGTCTCCACACTGGTACCTTTGATGGTTTGACGATATAGTGGGAGACCCATTGCTTCAGCAAACAGTTCAATGGCCTGATGTCCCACTGTCTGATACATGTAACTATCCAGTTCATCTGATCCCACTGCAGAAAATAAAATAGAAACGCTCAATTAAAGAAAATCAAAAGGAAGGTGGAACTGAAGACTCGACTAGGGTACTAAAATACTCCAACATCAACTGTGATGGGATATGAAACTGAAAAGGAATGCTGTATGCATCTTTACATTATGAAAGGAAATCTTACACATCAATCTCCAGTGACTATTACTACATGAAGTAATGCAAAGCAGCTAAACTGTGGGGCCAGCAAGCAATATCCCTGAGGACAACCTCAGCCTTGCTCTGAGGTTGCCTGTAGGCAGTACATAGAGGCAGAACCTCTGGGCTGTTATTTTAGGCTTGGTCCCATTATACTGCTATTTGCAGGGCTAGTTATTCACAGGGAAGAAAAAGAAAGAGAGCTTCATGAGAACTTTTGCCAATGAAGCAATGAATGCAGTTGCTGAGATGTGGATTTTCTGGGTATACTCCACTGTATGTGTGTTCCTCTTTTTCATCTGTGTCTCTGGAGAAATTTTAAGTGCTAGACAATGCTGGGAGCTGCCTGAGATCTTTAGTACAGAGTCCAAAGACACCATGATAATGCTGTCATTAGAATTACATTAGAGTGCAAGTCCTGTGTAGGCAGGGATCACTTCACATTCTTTACACTTACACCCCCAGCAGCCTGCACAGCATCTGGCACATAGGATGTGCTGAACAATTACTGATTAAGTCAACAATGACACTTTGGCACTACCTCCTGGGCACTTCCCTAGCATCCTCAGGATGTACCATGGAACACTGAGAGTGACTTTCAATTCATCCATGTGCCAACCATGTTTCCTACTGATTTGCGTATACACACACACACACACAGACACACAGACACACACACACACACACACACACACACTATTAAATATAACAAATGTTCTAACAGGAAATGAGTATGTGTGTATGTGCATATATACATATATATACACATACATACATATACACATACATGTATATATATAAATATATATATATATAAATTATATATCTTGAGAGTCTCAAAAGAGTGTTTATATTCCCTTAAATTATTTTCTCAGTTTAGCTTCTTTTTCCAATTCAAATTCATACTGTTTTAATGGATTTTGGATCATTAAAGGGCTTCTTCCAAAATATATGGCATTACAGAACCATAGAGTTACAAGGAATCCTCAAGATCATCGAGGTCCAATTCCCCCCATCTACCTACCTATTTTACACATGAGAAAAAAAAACTGAGAGATATGGGCCCTGCCATAAGATGTCAACTGACTTGCCCAAGGTCACACAGTTAGTAAATGAAAAAGGTATGTCATGTGATTTTCTATCCACTGCTCTTACCATTACTCAACTATCTCATAACTGACATAAAATATCTGGTAAGTTAATTTTTGAGATTACTAATATGAATTCCAATAAAAATATATATACAGCTTTACTATTAACAGAGCTTGAAATTACACAGGCATATATGACTTATTATACTATGAGCGAAGACCACTACTAGTCTAACAAACAAATTCAACAAACATTTATTTAATGTTTACTATTTGCAATCAGTGAGAAGCACTAGGGATACAAAGATGAAAATCAACACAGTCCTTTAAAGAAAAGAACTTACAATCTAAGAGGGAGAACACAGACACAATTCAGATACAAGCAAGCAAAAAATAAGACTAAATATGGTAAGGGTAAAAGAGAACTCCAGCAAAAGTACTTTAAGAAAATATAAGGAGGGAGAGAGATCACTTACTTTTTAAAAATAATTTTATTTTCCCCCCAATTACATGTAAAAACAATTTTTAACATTCATTAAGTTTTGAGTTCCAAGTTCTATCCCTCTCTCCCCTTAAGATGGTAAGTAATCTGATGTAGATTATATGTGTGTAATCATGTAAAATGCTTCCATATTAGTCATTTTGTGTAAGAAGACACAAAATAAAAGACAGAAGGGGAGAGAGACAGAGAGAGACAGAGATAGCAAGACAGAGAGAGAGAAAGGAAGGAAGGAAGAAAGAAAGAAAGAGAAAAACTGTATGCTTCAGTTTGTATTCAGACAACATCAGTTCTTTCTCTGGAGGTGGATGGCATTTTTCATCATGAGTCCTTTGGGACTGTCTTGGATCATTATATTACTGAGAACAGCTAAGTCATTCACAGTTGTTCATTGTACAATACTGCTGTAAGTGTGTACAATGTTCTCTTGGTTCTGCTCACTTTACTCTCTATCAGTTCATGTAGGTCTTTCCAGGTTTTTCTGAAATCACCCTGCTCATTATTTCTTATGGCACAACAATATCCCATTATAATCATATATCACAACTTCTTTGACCATTCGCCAATTGTTGGGCATCTCTTCAATTTCCAATTCTTAGCCACTAGAAAAAGAGCTGTTACAAATATTTTTGTACAAATAGGTCTTCCCCCCTCCCCCCCCCCTTTTTTTTTTATCACTTTGGGATAGTAGTGGTATTGCTGGATCAAAGGGTATGCACAATTTTATAGCCCTTTGAGCATAGTTCCAAACTGCTCTCCAGAATAGCTGGACCAGTTCACAACTCTACCAACAGTGTATGAGTGTCTCAGTTTTCCCCTCCAACATTTATCATTTTCATTTTCTGTCATATTAGCCAATCTGATAGGTTTGAGGTGGTACCTCAGAGTTGTTTTAATTTGCATTTGAGAGATCACTTTCTGGGAAACAAAGAAGACTTCGAGGGCTTCAACAGAAAATTGAAGGAAGTTAACTTTGAACAGAGTGAAAGAAATATATTTCAGGCATAGAAAATTGGATAGATGAAAGCACAGGCAAAAAAAAAAAGCAGAGCAAAATGGAGAATAGTTAGCACTCTAATTTAGCTGGAATGCAGAATGAATGAAAGGGAATAATGTGAAATAAGACTAAAAAAAAGGTTTGTTGAAATGAGCCTGTGGCAGGCTGCAAATGCCAGATTACGAGATTTGGATTTTATCCTTTATCTTTAGACTGTAGACCCAGATTCATTGTATGGGGTCCCTTGACAGATATACAAATTCATAAATAATCAAACATATCTTCTACAGACTAAATATTTTTCACATATACATATATATGTACACTTTTACCAAATGTATGAAGATATTATTGTGATTAAAAAACTATAAACTAATTTAAAAGCATCAGTAAATTCATAGCAGTTTTCCCCTCATTACATATTTTCTTAATCAATAGATACTAATAGTACAACTATTATGTGAAAGTCAGCAATTTTTTTTATATTAAAAGGATGTCATCATATTGAAAAAGGTTGTGAACCACTGCTATTGTCAATAGGTTAGATTTAGGGATGTATCTTAATGATTGCATTATGGATTAACAAGCAGATATTCAAAATGACAGAATTATTCCTGATGCAATGTAAGCAGGTCTACAAGTGTTATTAGAAAATGGGAAATGCCACATTAGTGCAAGAACTCTAATGACAGAAATTGAAAACTGACCTTCTAAATATATATGAAGTCCAGGTCACATGATAAATTGGTGTTGATACTATAGAGAAACATAGTACTTCATTTCTGGGTGGGCATTCAATATGTATTTGCTGATTTCATTTGATACTCAAAGATTCTGAAGATTTATAGAACAAAGAGAAAATCTAAAAATGCATCAGTGTGTGAGGCATCATCCTCAAAAATGTGAAGCCAGTGGCAAATGTTTTAAACATCTGTATCCATAAGCAATAATTTTCATATATCAAATTTCATTATCAATTTACCATAAATCAATTTTCATTATCAAAAAATATTAAGTTACTGAAAAGTATTTATGTATTTCACTGATCCATCCTTTTTATAGCAAAACAATTCCAAATGTGCCACTTTACTGACACCACACAAGTTTAAATAGTTTACAAGCTTTCCACAAAATGTGAAAAGTCATACAAACAGAATTCAAAAATTAGGACCCCATGACCACCAATGATTAGAATCAGCACTATTTGCCAACTCCCTTTTTTCTCAATAATCAAATTACATGTGCACAATGAATTGAGTTACACAAATATGTCTAACATAGTTTTATAGTCTCTATTTTGGATTTTAAAAATTAATCTTGATAACAAGCCCATAAACCAAAAGTCTAAAATACTCAAAGACCTAAAGAAAATATAATAAGCCTCTTACTCTCCTTTGTAAGATTTACATTTGAATTTTTATTTGTAAAATACTCTGAGTGCACAACAATAAACCTACAAATATAATTGTCTTCTCTCCATTTCATATGGTAAAATGATGTTAAAAAAAATAAGTGGGAGAGAGTTTAGATTTTGTTTAGAGCTTCTGAATCCATAAAGTTCAAGTTTTAGGTTACTCCATTATTATAAATTCCTTACACTGTAATTCCTATTCTAAATGGAAGAACAAGATATATTCACCCCTACTTCACATGACACCTAAAAATATACTTATCTTTTAAGGCAGAGTTATATGAATTCATACAAGGAACTTTGAGTTGTTGGGGGAAAAAAATCTAGATGTTAGCATAATAGCTTTTTTAACTTGGTAAGAACACAATTTCTTTTAATGTTCCATCTAGTCCCTGACTATCATGTTACTTTATTAATTGAGGCTTTGAAGACAATAGTTAGTACGAGATCAAATAAAAACGAAAAGGATCCACTGTTGCCTGGAGCACCTCAATTAACTTGCCACAAAATGTCCTACCACAGACTTAATAGGATTGTTTTATGAATGTTATGACAAGAGTCCACATTATTGATGAGAATAAAGTCATTTCCACACTAACTCTTGAGAACTCAGCTATGTGAATTCACTCCAATTGCTCTGACTCTGTGGCCATCTCTACTCCTTACTCTTTATTATGCTCCATGCAGAACTTACTTAGCAAGAAAGAAGCCAGGCAATTATCCACTGTATCTTTTATTCTCTAACAAACCGCGTTTTCTTTCTTAGATTAAATCAAAACTAGCTGAATCCTTATCCATACTTTATAATTTTATATACATATTTTATCCTCTGTTTGAATGTGTATAGTCTGACTTAAAAAATTTTATCTTGGTAATAGTATATATTCCTTAACTTCTCCCTTTACTTCTTGCCAGCTTTAAAAATCAGCTTTCCTTTTATCCTACCTCGAATGCTCCTGAGGCACAAGAAAATAAGAGATCATATGCTAGAGACATGATATAATACATACATAAATTTTTCCATGTGGGGAAAAACATTGTAAAGTATCTGTATCTTTAAATGATAATCTCTATCTCTAGCTTGAAAAATACAATTGACTAATCAGGCCATAAATAGCACATGGATTTCCTTGTTTGACAAACAGTAGAAATGAAGGAAAATCTGACTTGTGTTTTTAACATACGAGTTACAGTAACAGTTTTTGTCCATCTGCAGTCAATCTAGGCTTCTCAATTCTACCTCCACAACACCTCTCACATCAGCCTCCTTTCTACTCCTACAAGCACCACCCTCATTCAGGCTTTCTTTACTTCTCAGAAGGACTAGTACAACAGGCTTCTTTCTAACTGATCTTCTTGCCTTCAATTTTCTCTCCCATCTACCCTCTACACAGCTGCCAAATTAAAGTTCCTAAATTACAGGTCTGATCATGTCACTTTGCTCAAGAAGCTTCAATAGTTCCCTGCTGGATCTCTGTTAAACTACAAACAGATCTATTTGGCACGTAAATCTTCAGTCCTCCCAAAGTATACACTTTGTCTATTGACTTATCTGTTTCATTTTTGTCTTTGCATCCCCAACCCCTAGCATAGTACCTGGCACCTGGTAAACAATTAATAAATGTTTGCCAAATGAATGAATGAACCATTTCACACTTCCACTATAGAACCATCTCTCCTCAAAGTCTGAAGAATGACAACACTTGTCCCGAGACTATGATACAAAATAATTCTCCCCAAGACTCGATTGGAGAAGGTCAAGCTCCTAGATTTTTCCTCTGCAGTCTTCCAGACCCTAAAATAATGTAACAGGTCTGGAAAGTTGCCCCTAGCCCAAGAAGTGTACTTTCTTTATTTATATATAATGTAAATATTTCATTTTTCCCATTCATGTTCCAGAAGTTATCCCAAAAGTCTTAATGCAGTTTTAAGTGTTAATAGCTGCACTAAGATTTTTGGGACACCCTGTATTTTTGTCCAAATAGATATTTGTCCACTGTATATTTGTCCGTATAATTCTTTCTATAGTTCAAAGATTGTACCCATCAAATCTGTTCTGCATAGCCTTCAATATTAATTAAGGATTTTTTTTTAGTGATAATTTATTATTCTGGAGATAATGATGAAAGTTCAAATCAACTCCTATGTTCATTGGTTGCCTATTTTCATATCTGGCTCCCTAAAGCTATGAGCCTCTTTATATCTTCCTGCTTCCTATCACTCTGTTAACTTTTTTTTTGTTCTATTAAGGTATTTCTCAGCTTCCGCCTCCCACTTACCATTGACCATTTAATACTAAAATTCATATACTTTTTTCAAATAGTTTCATATAATATTCTTGTAAAAACTTAATGAAACTTAAAAAAATAGAAATCTAAAATAAACTAGGTGCTAGAAAAAAAGACAGCTTTATTACATACCATTTTTAAACCTAAAAATACTTGTGAATTGCTTCCCCTCACTTCAAGGCAGACTTGAAGATCAATAGCAACAAAATTAAAAAATATTATATTTTTTTCCTGGTTTGAGTCAGGACCTGAATGTCATCTCTAAATCTAGAGGAGCCTGGGCTTGGAGAAATAGTTATTATCAATTCCCAAAGCCCCTCAGTAACAACATGTCCTCTCACAATGACACCTCTGCTAAGTCCGTTAGTTATTGTCTACCTTCTTACATAATTTCCAGCACCACCCAAAAAAAAAGGTGATATTGGACTAAAAATTTCAACCAATGTTCAGTCATTCTAGCACTATCTCAAGGTGACTCATTATTTATTCATTCAACCAAAGGCATTCATTAAGTTCTACCACATGCGAAGCACTATCTACCATATATTATGGAAAATAGAAGAGTGCTGAACTTAGATTCAAAGGACCTGGATTAAAATTCTGGCTCAGTTATTTACTAGTTGTGTGCCCCTGGGCATATCAATTTACTTTTACGGGTCTCTGTTTTCTCTAAATCCTATGAAGTTATAATCCCTAATTTGAAGGAACCCATACTATAGTTGAGGCACAAAAATATACATAACAAATCAGAAAACAAATCAAATCAATATAAGCAAGAAAATGATACATGGTACCAATTGAATACATGACTCCTAAGGGAATATTAAAAAAAGAAAAAGATCATCCTAGAAGTAGAGTTAATCAAGAAAGCTTCTTTAAAAAGGAGAGCCTTGAATTAATCCTTTAAGTGTCAGATTTGTATTTCAAGGGAGGAGGGACACAGTTAAAGATGACGTGTAGGGATGGAGCTAATTAAAACTTCTATATCAGAAAGTAGTGAGAGATGGAGTTGGAGAGATGTTCTTTTTCCCTTCCTATTACCTTATGAATATCATTCACTAGGTGGGTTGGTGAAATTAAAAACACTCGCTTTTGCAATTTTTTTTTAAACAGCTCAGAGAAGACTTCTTGTTGTGGAGCAAATTGAAGCAAAAAGCTAAAATGAGTTTGGGGATTACTATTACATCTCATTTACCTACTTGACAATACTCTGCTATCCCACATAAAAAACGATCACATTCCATTCCATATTGTTGACTAATAAAACTAAGTGGTGATTACCATTTATGCCATTTTCGAGTGATAATCTAGATTTGTTTTGAATAATTAAAAAAATAAACAATGCTATAATTTTACCTTGGTTTTTAGCTGGTCTTAGATTTGCTAAAGCAACAATCTGATGGCCAGCAGCAACACATTGCATCATATTATAGCAGCTGTCCTTCCCACCACTGAGGAAAAAAAAAAAGGTAATAGTTATACAATAGGGTTACTACAAAAATAATTAAAACTAAGTATAGCAAAAATATTTAGCTTAATTTTTCATACTTTTTCAGTGATTGTACCTGAATTAGAATGAATTTTAAAAAACATGCAATTTCCAAATTATATACAATCTAAGCACTTGAATTTGGACGATTAAGGCTAATAGAAACATACGAAATAATTCACAATCATTAATTTCTAAAAATACCCAAGATTTCAGATTCTAAACTAAATCTGGTAGGTGTTTTATTTATGTCAATAGTCTTATTTAATGTACAAAATGTCTGATAAACAAATGTCTTGATTTTTTAAAATTTTAACTAAATATTTGTCACATAGGCTCCTTAAGTAAAATTTCCCTTGAAAAGTTAAAAAACCAAAATAGCCCCAAACCAGAAAATCAAAACTTTTCATCTCACCACAGTAAAACCCAACAACTGACAGCCATTAAGGATGAAAGGACAGAGTGAAATATTAGGTGTCCCAAAAGTATTGGTGCAGTTTTAAGCTATTAAAGCTTAAATACAAGGATATCCTGTACTTGAGAACTAGCAAAAGACAGTGCTCATTTACTCTAAATTGACGCTACTTGATCCTGATGATCTGTAAAAATTGGAATCTAAACACTATCAAGAGTTAGATTAGCTGCTAGAGCCCTATAAGTCAGGAAGCCTTGGGTTCAGATCTGATACTAGCTGTTTGAAGAGAAAATGAGCAAGTCCCTCTACCTCACTGAGTCTCGGTTTCCTCAGCTATAAAATGGGGATAATCATACCAGTAGTGCCTACTTCATTAGGCAATTGTAAAGTTAAAGAGGATCATGTATGTAAAGCACTTTCCAAACTTTAAAACACTATATAGGTATCAACTATTGTTGCTAATGTTTCTATTTCCACACCACTAAAGAGCAGGCTGGAGTCCATTGCCCTGATAATATAGTGTATGGACCTTGTTCATTTCAGTTCCAACCCCACCCCTGGCTCCTACCGTAGTCAAACACAAATCATTGTGCCCAGGCAATTGGGCAGAAAACATATACCAGAGTAGCAATCTGGAAGGTTGCAGGAAGGGAGGCATTTTTCTATCCTCCTCTATATTGACCTATTCTTCTGGTCACTGATTCTCTCTCACTCTTCTATTTCCTTTATTTTTCTCTCTCTTCACTGTTTCACCCACCCACTCATGATTGCCAGTATGCCCACGACATGATGGGGGTAAAGAGGGTGTGGACTCTTGACCTAGTCTTTAGCCCCATTCTCACTTATGAGAATGCTTGAGATGAGTCTGTAGATCAGAGGCTATACAACCAAATAGAACCTACCCTATACATCCTTGTTGCAAAACATCATGATCTTTGTATGTATGTTTTAAATAACAAAGGTTAGGAGACAGCTAGGTGGTGCAGTGGATAGAGCACAGGCCCTGGATTCAGGAGGACCTAAGTTCAAATCTGGCCTCAGACACACAACGCTTACTAGCCGTGTGAACCTGGGCAAGTCACTTAACCCCATTGCCCAGCATAAAAAAAAAAATAACCCACTAGTCAGGTTATCAGAAAGATTGATAATAGAATAACTCAATTAGCTTTCCACTTTTAAACAGCTATAATCAATCAATAAATAAATAAACATGTATTAAGTACCAGGCACTATGCTAAGGCACTGTGTCAGACACTACTAAAAGCTAACCTAGCAGCAAAGGGCATTTCATCAAGAAATAAAACTATATCCAGGACAAAAAAAGTTAGTTAACCTTTTGTCTATTACCAAAGTGACAGTACTTCATCTTTAAATTCCAAATAAATATTCAGTAAAGAAATGTAATCTAACAATTCATCTGAAATATGGAGCTCTATCATTTCAGTCCAGGGGACAAAGTCTTATTTCAAATGGTTTCCTTGTAACCCAACAGTTTTACTGTGTAAGTGTTTGAAGCAGATTTTCTAATAGTACCTTAATATTTATATGGCACTTTATAGTTACAAAGCAGTTTACATAATCTTATTTGGACTTCCTCAAAACCCTGTAAGATAAGGTGGGTACTGCATTACTATCTCCATTTTACAGATGAGAAATATTAAATGATCTGCCAAAATTCATATAACTAGTAAAATGGCAGAGACAGAGACAGTGCCTGAACCCAAGTCTTTTGGCTCTAAGTTCAAAGTTGTCTATATTACACCACATTGCTCTTATTGTAACACATATACAATATAAATACCACGTGATGGAAATTGCATTGCCCAGAATATTTGTATCGTGTTACAATTAAATTTAAATTTGTATATTATTTTGTCTAATACATAATCAGAACTATAATATAAAAACCACAATGGAATAATGTTAAAACATAATAACATAATAGTACTTAGAATATAAAAATATACATTTTTATCAAAATACATTAAAAATGTAAATTTGTTATAGAAATTAGTATTAATACAGTGTATATTATCTTTAGCATCAATTATAAGTTTGTATTTAAAGTGTATTATATGTGGTAATAACCCTTTTTTATGTCTGTGCCCTATAATGATGCTATTCTACCAATATTCAGAGCAAAATTTCATTTTAAATGAAATTACTTTGTATTATGTTTTCAGAAAGCTGATTTCTTTTATCCCCTAAGTAAAGAATAAAGAATAAAGCAATGTCTGGTCATGGTTCCAAATTATGGCTCTCTAGCTCATCAGGGATTAAAAATAATAAAATGTGTTTGGCATAATATCAATGGAATAGTTAAATATCTTATCTTGAAAAAAAACAATCATTTTAATTCCATAACCTAAAGGCAGATCTCTACCCAAACATGTTTTCATATGCCCCTGTGGAATCTAACCAACTCTACAGAAGTAGAACAGGGAGAAAATCTGAATTCCAAGTTTAAAGGGGTCAGATCAAAATTGGCTGAAGTGGGGGCAACTAGGTGGTACAGTGGATAAAGCACTGGCCCTGGAATCAGGAGGACCTGAGTTCAAATCCAGCCTCAGACACATAACACTTACTAGCTGTGTGACCCTGGGCAAGTCACTTAACCCTCCTGCCTAGAAAAATTGTCTTGATTAGAAGACAAACTAGCCACAATTTTGCACTACCAGCAATTTAAAGTATATCAATCTCATCTCCCTGGCCTTGAATTTACTATTTAAGTGTTACGATTTTTATAATTTGTTACAATAAAGCAAAAAACCCACAAAGTTACAAAAGAACACTGAGATTAAAAACTAAGAAAAAAAAGTGAGGTAATACAGTTAAAACATTGACAAAGTAACAGCATAATTAGTTTGTATTCTGGAAGAACTTTAGCTTCTTGAAGCTTGCTTTGTCTAGAATTTAAATTTTTGATCATATTGCTTAGACAGCAAAGCAAGCAAATCACACTTTAGAACTTTTAAGAGGTAATACAAAATATCTATATTTAAAAGTTACTATATCAACTTTTAAGCCGTAGTGGAACACATGGAATGACTACACATGGAAGGGATTGATAAAGTTAATTGTCATAATATATAATTACCAAAGTAAAAATCTGTGTCTTATTTGGAAAATAGCCAAGGTGATACAATAGGATAAACATCAATCTTGGGAAACAGTTTAATATGAAACTCCCCATTTTGATGAGTAAAAAAATGTCTGGGCAATCAAAAGACTAGATGTTCAATTTATGACTTGTTTCAATAGACTTTCAATAAAACTTCCCATTTTTTGTACAATCATGGAAATTGAAATGCTGAAAGCCTACAAAGATTGTCTGGTTCCTCCTTCTGCCTTTTAACTGATTTAATAACAACTAAATCTTCTGAGACAAAAAGAGTTATCCACTCATTTTTTAATGAGATTGTTCCAATTGTTAATCACTGGAATGCTCCTTTGCTCCATTTCAGACCTATTTCCTTTTACTCACTCCTCTGCAGAAATGGAGAACCAAGAAGTGACCTCCATCTCATACTTTCAAAGAGTTATTCCATTCACTGTTTTTTATCCTTGTATCAAGCTAAAAAATCTCAAATTTAACAGCTGTAGAATTGAATTAAATCATTTTTCTTGCTTTTCCACTAAGATAATGGAAGCAAATGTTTATACCTACCTTTATAAGTACTCAGTACCTTACATACTATTACAACTTACAAATTAAAGAAATCAAAAGGACTCATATGACACAAAATTCAGAGTTCCAAGGGATCCTGAAGATCATCTAGTATAACCCTATAGTTAAAGAGGAAACTGAGGCAGAGAGAGGTTAAGACTTGCCCATGGACACTCAAGGAGTAATGAAGTCTGGAGAGATTTGAATGTAGAAAGATATTCTGATGCAAAGCCCAAGGCTCTTTCTACTTTACCATTATGCCCAGTTGATCTGCTGGATAAGCAAATAGCTCAGTGTTCCACTTCAATCCTACAAATTTCTAAGGCATTTCTTTGTAAAATGGTATTGGTGTGCTGCATGTTTCCAAATTTCATATTAATACTAGAATCGGTATGTCTAAGAATACCTAACGGAAATGCCTTTTTGCTACCTTTGGCTCTATAGCTAACATTTACAATGCACTTATTATGTGTCAGGTGCTTTACAATAATCACATTTGATCTGCACAGCAAGCCTGAGAAGTAGGTGCTATGATTATCCCCATTTTACAGATGAGATAACCGAAGCAAACAGAAGTTAAGTGACTTGCCCAGGGTCACACAGCTAGTAAACTGTCCGAGGCTGGATTTGAATTCGGGTCTTTCTGACTCCAGGCCCCCCCTTAGCCTCTATCCATTCCACCACCTAGCTGGCCCCAAGAGGATGGGAATAGGGGAGGGGCAGGGAGTGGGGTTTGTGACGGCAGAAAGATTTAGAGAGGAGGAAAAGGAAGGCAGGGGAGAAGGGGGAGAGGAGCGCGCAAGGAAGGGGCACTGAGCTAAAGGAGCAGAAATTAACCGGAGGGAGGCGGGACCACGGAGGGTAGGGAAGCCAGGGGCGCGGAAGCCCCAGCCGGACACTAAGACTCCGCCTCTTCCGGTCGTCGGCGAAGCCGCAGCTTCGGCCTCGGATCCCGACACGGCACCGGGCCTCTCTCTCTCTCGGTGTAGATAAAGATAGACACCAGGCCCCTGGGCGGCGGAGGCGGTCGCTTTCTCCCCACAAGCAGGGAGGAGGAAGGCCGCGGCGGGGGCCATGTTACCTGATCAGAGCCGCGACCCTCATGTCAGGGTCCCCAGCGTGCACGCGGACGCGTGCGGGCAGGGCAAGATTGGAAACTCGCGCCGCCGCTTCCGCCTCGGGGGAGGGGCCTTGGCGCCCAACTTCGCGGCGAGGACCCGCTGCTGTGGCGTTCCCTGCACCGCCTGCTCGGAAACACCGGCGACCACCGCGTCCCTGCGGGGCACCTGCTCGCTGGGGCTTCCGGGACACTGAGTAGGACGATTTAGGCCCTTTGTCGCCGAGGTTGGCGTCCACCGTCCCGGAAGAGGATTTTTTTTTTCTTCAGGCGCGCTGTAGTCACCTAAATAAGGGCAAAGAAGCTCCCCAAGAAAGGGCGAAGCCTGTAAATTTAGAAGCTAGGTTAGCGCTGGGACTCCGGAGATCTTTTGGAGAAAGTTGCTGGGTCAAAACCCATGGTTGACTTTTATTTTACTGTTGTTTTTTTTTTAAATGCATGTGGTAGTATAGTAATCTAAACATAGGTAGAAATATTTCCTCCTCCATTTCACTTCACTTCTTTTACCACTTTTTTCTCCTTACCCCCCCCATGTTTTTTTTTTCCCCAAAGAAGAGTATGGAACTGATTTCAACCGTTCCTCCACCCCATTCCATTATAATTTATGTGAGTGGTGAGGCAGACAGATTAATAGGATCATAGATTTAGAGGGAGTTGGTACATAAGGCCGTGTAATCCAGCTCCCTCGGTTTACTGTCAGTCAGCACTTACTAAGCTCCTACTGTGTGTCAAGCACTTTGGTGAATGCTGGGGATACAAAGAAAGGCAAGACAAAACAGACGGTGCCATAGAGGAGCTCTCCGTTTAATGGGGACAGCATGCAAACTAGACAAACTATGTGCAAACTCTGTGTGTGTGTGTGTGTGTGTGTGTGTGTGTGTGTGTGTGTGTGTAATGGGGGAGGTCACAGTGTGGGGTGTACTAAGAAATGTTTAATACCTGGCATTTTAGAAAACAAAAACACTTAAGGCACATTTTTAAACTTAAGATGCATTTATTAACCTTTTCTACATTTTGGGGAGGAGGGAGAGGGTCTGGAGACAAACCACAAAATAATCAATCCCTGATTTGTACAGTTTGCCATTCCTAGGTGTAATTGCTCACTCTGAAAATTTAGCAATCAGCTCCTTCCCTCTGATTGGATGACTCCTCCCAGAGCTTCCATTTGTGCCCTCGGGCCCAGGCCAACCCTTTCCGAGCTGCGCTTTATACTTCCTACAATGCCACTGAGCTGGATACCTTCATGATCTCCCCCTCCTTTTAAACTTACTTTAATGTGTTGTCTTCTTGCATTAGAATGTAAGTTCTTTTAGGTCAGGAACTATCTGCTTGTACAGCGTTTGGATTCCCGGTGCTTAGCACTGTGAAAAAGGTGGCTTCTATATTAAAACTTGAAGAAAAGAAAGGACTTTGGAAAATGGAGATAGGGAAGAAGAAAAGAGAAGTTTATTTCACACACAGAGAATGAAGTGAGTAAAAGTACAGAGATAGGAGAAGGCAGGCCAGCCAATGGGACTTTCCATTTTGATTGGACAGAGCTGGGACTAGAATCCAGATATCCTGAACTCAGCTATATATCAATATTATGATGGGGTTTGAGTAATAGTTGTGGGGCACATAAAAGTATTAAATAACTTGGGAACTTTTGGTAGAGCTCAAGTATATCACCAAATAAGCCTCTGTCCCTAGATTCTCAAGGGTGATTATGACTCTAAACTTTTGTTAGCTGTAGATCTTGCTGCTTCTCCTGTGATTGTTTATATCCATTTGTCTTTGTTTTACTCTGTTAAGTGGGGGCTGTCTCCAATAGTCCTGATCTTGCCACTGGACCCAGATGGCTCCAGAGGAGAGAGTGAGGTTTCTGACTTTGCCCAGCCCTCCCTCACCAATTTACTTGCAAGTCATGGCATCACCTTCCTGATATCATGGTCCTCATCTGTAACAAAGGACAAACAACAACCTATGAGTAGTAGTAGCTGCCCCTCTGGGGACCCTACTGGCCAGTTCCAGTTGGACAGTGCAGCTCTTTCCTTCTCTCCCTCCCTCCTTCTCTTCTTCTCCCTCTATCCATGTAGGGTATCTTACCCTTACCTGCAGGTACTCTGCCCAAAGGAATGTAAATTTTGATTGCTGAAACTTCCCAAGTTAAATTGGGGGTTACTGGCTAGATTTCTTTCTTAAGGACCTTGCCTTAAACCCAAATCACTCAGGCTCTCTTTGATTGACCCACAATAGGTCCCAGCCCAAGCCTTACTTGGTCTTTGTTTAGGTTTTGATGGCTCAGAGTGAGTATAAATAGCAATCGTTTTTGTTTTGGCCAGAAACCCTGAGAGTATTCACCTCCCAGATTTTTTCTTTTTTAACTAGGTAAAATAGGCCATTCTTTGCCTTATTTCTTACCTAGCCTTAATCACTGAATGGACATTATCTCAGTCAAATTGAGACCAGGGAAAGACCTTAGCTTCAAAAGGCCAAGGTCCACCACTGCATCTGGGGCCATCTCCAGTCGTCCCGGTTTATATCTTGCCACTAGACCCAGATGGCTCTTGAGGAGAGAATGAGGCTGGTGGCTTTGCATAGCCCTCTGTCACTTAAATCCAATTCACTTGCAAGTCATGGCATCCTGATGTCATCGGTGCTCTTTGAGAATAAAGGACAAACAACGACAACACTTTGCACTGTTTCTGGCACAAAAGTGCCTAATTAATGCTCGTGGACTGTTGCTCCCCTCTGTATTATCTATCCACCAATTCATTCCCAGATACTTACAACATATTGTCAGGATCCCCATGCCAAGACCACCCCTTCTCTTTATTCTCCTCTCTTTTTACTATTAGGAGACACCCTGTTTTCCAGGCCCAGCAAGCAAGCTGTGTCCTGAGCTTGGCATAACAACAATCCTTTGTGTTCACCCTCTGGTTGAACTCAGCCACAGCAAAATCCCAGGATTGTTTCACACCACCACCAGGTGTTCTCTGACAAACACCTGCAGTACCTGTGTTCCAGTCATGAAGTCCTGCTATGAATCAAACTTGTTGCTGTTACTCCTCATTGTCAGAGCTGCAGCTCACTGCATAGCCACTCTAGTATGTATTAGAGATTTGTCCACACTAAAGCAGATCTCCTGGGTATCAGAGGAGGACCCTGCACATGTGTCTAGTTTCCATCCTCCAACAGAATAAAAAAGCTTTTTGCTTATAACTGCTGTTATTTCTTTGGTTTTATTTTTATTTTATTTTATTTTTCAGAGTTAACTGTGGTTATGATAACTTCTGTGAGCGCTTTGGTATTTTTAGAGTTTACAACAGTTGCAAAACCTCTGTTATACTCTTTGGTCATTCATTTTCAGGGTTGACAATACTCAATTCATTCCAATACTAAAATGACTCTTTAGCCATTCTACTCTATCCAGCTACCATCTTTTCTCTTCCCTTTCACTGATATACAGAAACAAGGTTATTGAAAACAAAGCTCATCTTTCTCTTTAAATCTGCTTATTGGGGCAGTGGATAGAGCTCCAGCCTTGGAGTCAGGAAGACCTGAGTTCAAATCTGGCTTCAGACACTTCACACTTACTAGCTGTGTGACCCTGGGCAAGTCACTTAACCCTGATTGCCTCACCAAAAAACCAAATTTTAAAAAAAAAACCTTATCCATTGGACAACTAGTTTTGTCTATAGCACTATGATTCATCCTACCATATGTGTTGAAAATCCTGGAGTTAGTCTCTGATGATTCTCTTTCCTAACCCTCCTGATAAACAACTAGTTACCAAACCCTTTCACTTCTGCAGCATCTATTAATCCTTCCCTTCTCTTATTCCCATTGCCACCATTTGGTGTAGGCCCTTGCTTAAATTATTGCATTGTCCTTCAAACAGGCCTTCCTATCTCCATCCTTCCTCTCCACTTCGCATTGCTGCCAGAATAATCTTTCTTGTACAAAAATCTGGTCATTTTACTTTCCTCAGAAGTCTTCAGTGGCTTCCTATAACCTCTCAAGTAAAGTTCAGACTCCATTGCCTGACAAACAAGTCCCTCCCCAATCTAGTAATATCTTACTTTTCCAGCTTTATTGTATCTTACTGCATTTTCCAGCTTTATTGTATACACTCTGCATTCCATCTACACTATTTTACTCTCTGTTCTTCGGATACTTCGTGTACTCTCCTTATGCCACTGCATCTTTACTTAAGCTGTTCCATATGACTAATTCTGTTCCCTTTCTGATGAATTTCTATTGAATTAATGCCTCTGCTTTAAACTTTTAAAAAGGAAGTTTCCTCATCTCAGAGTTTATCCTATAGCCATGAAATCACAGATGCAGTATCTATCTCTTATCTCCATCCTTGTCCCTAACCTTTGAAACCTCAGAGCCCCAGTTCTGAACCTGACTGACTTTTCGTGCTCTGATGTATTCTCTCCTTGGCCTGTCTCTGAAGTGAAAAATTCTACTTCCTAATATTCAGCACCATTTCCTCTTGCTCCCCTGGGCTAAAGTAGGCCTCTTGTGGTGCAGAGATTGCTTGTATTGCTCTATGTTATGTCATTGTTCACAAAAAAATCTAGCTACAACAACAACAACAACAAAAATATATGATTTACAGTCTGTTTACAGAATCATAGGTGGCCATAGTTGGAAGCAACCTAAAATGCCATCTTGTCTAACATATCTGAATGAAAATCTCTACAACACCTGACCAGTGGTCATACATACTTGTCAACCATATTTTGTATTCTTATAAATGGCTTGAGCTATTTTTTTTTTTTGCAGAAACTTCTGTAGACCTGAATTTGAATGTGTGAATTTAATATCTCTGTTTTGGATAATTAAGAGTTGACTTAAACCTCTGCCACTTTTTTTTTAGGACAAAGGGAAGGTGCACCAAGGGAGGAAATATTGCCTTGGCTAAGACCTATCAGCTTCAGAGGATAAAATTGCCAAAATGGGTATATTTCATCTAGAAGAAACTTAAAACATAAGAGGGGTTTTCCAGACAAGGGAAATACATTGGCAGTGAAGGAACTTTATGTCTGGAAATTTACCAACTCCA